GCCCCCCCCCACCCCACCCCACCACCCCTTCACCCCCCCTTCCACCACACACACACCCTTCCGCACCACCACACACACACACACCACATACACACCCTCTTCCCCCTCTTCCCCTCTCTCCTCCTCTCCTTCTCCCCTCTGCAACCTACTCAGCATCTTGTCAGCCACCAGGGCCTTACGCAGCACCTTGCGACCCGAGCGGAGGCCATTACCCTCGACAGTGCCAAAGATAGCACGCGAGACAGCAACGAGCTCAGGAACACTCCGAGCAGCACGGGACGCCATGGCTCTGCTTGGTGCGTGGGATGAGCTTGCTGGCTGTGACAGAGTGAGGTGTGTCGAAAGGCAGAGGGCGATGCACCAACTCGCACACACCGCACACACACCACACACACCACGCACACACCACACATCGCCCGCACACATCGCACCGCAGCCGTCACTTGCATGGAATTGTGAGTATTAAAAGAAGACGAGCCATCATTATGAGGCTTTGAAATGGCCTGTACGGCAGCAGGAGGCCCCAACATTTGTCATTAGGCCGAGGCCTCGACAGCAGCGGCGGCAGCTGCCTCTTGGGCGGCGGCGGCCTGCTGGGTGAGCGCCTGCTGCTCGGCGAGGGCGGCGCGGGCACGCTCGGCGGCCGCGGCGTAGGCGACAGCGGCCGACTCGGGGCCTTCGATGGCAGACTCCTCGTCCGTCGAGAGTGCGTCGCCCTGGCCCGATGGCTTAGAGACCTTGCCCTCGCGGAGCAGCGAGCGGAGGGTCTTGTTGTACATGCCCGAGGTCATGGTGGTGGTGATGTGAACGTCGGCCTCGTATGGCGGGACGACCGACGACTCGGCAAAGGCCGCCGCGGCGCCGGCAATGACCCACGCCATTTCCCAGCACGCGTACCGCGACGCGCCCGAGCACCGCTTGGGCAGCGTCGGAATGAGGACGTACTCGACGTGCTCCGGCCGGACCGGGCCCGACACCCATGCCCCTATCTTCTTCATCGGTCCGGGCATCGACATCGACGGCATAGCCACAGACGGGAGCTTGGGCAGCGAGATGCCCGGAAAGTGCGACTTGATGTCGATCGAGGGGAGCTCGATCGAGGCAAAGAGCGCAATGATCTTGCGGATAAGCGCGCCGACGCCGAGCTTCGGCATCGACGGCATCGAGACCGGCGACCACGACTTGGCTTCCTCGGCCATCTTGGCGAGCATCGACCCGATGTGGCCCGGAATGCCCGCCACCCCATCGAGCGTCTTGCGGATGAGCTCCACAGCGCCCGCCGCAGAGAGGCTCGGCTTGGGCAGCGAGATCGCGCCCAGGCCCGACGCCTTGGCCGCAGACTTGGCAAAGGCGTGGAGAACGCCCACAACGCCTAGCTTGGACGGCATTTCCATCACAAACTCGGCGCACGCCTCGATCTTCTCCGCAATCTTCTCCAGCATGTGCACAGGGTTGAGGTCCGGCCACTCAAACTCGACCTCGGGCAGCTCCTTGTCGCCGAGCCCATCCGCAATGTCCGGAATCGAGTCCTGCGCCGCAGATGACACGCCCGTGGCGCACGAGTACTGCGACGAGTCGCCGGCGTCCGTCTCGGCCGCAGCCTCGCTCGCCGTCATCGTGCTCGCTCCAGCTCCTTCCGAGAGCGACGGCATCGACGGCATCGACGGCTTGCATTTGCGCAGCATGTCCAGCAAGTTCGGGATCTTGAGCGACGGCATCGGCGGCTTGGGAATCGACGGCAGCGAGAGGCTCTTGATCGCGTCGATGATCGACCTCAGGACAGAGAGCATCTTGCCCTTGAGGTCCGGAATCTCCGGAAACTTGAACTTGCGCGGCGGCTTCTCGTCCGAAGCCAGCCGCGTCGACGCATACCGCAGCGCGCAGATCGGCCCCTTGAACGGGCCAGACGCCATCCCGGCCTCGCCACCAGATGGGGAGTCCTCCACAAGCGACCGCGCCGCAGACACAATAGCCCCGCCCGCAGAGCCAACCGCCCCGCCCGCAGACGCCGCCATCGACTTGGCCTTGGTCACCACCTTGGGCGGCGACGGCATCGGCGGCGCGCCCATCGTGTGCCAGTCGGCCTTGCCAATGTGCTGCGTCCCGTAGTACGCATGCGAGATCCGGTGCATCTTCGACTTGAACGGCGAGCCCTTGAACCGCGGCACCACAGAGTACGTTGCCCGATCCGTCACCATAATCAGCCGCTCCTGCTTCATCCCGCGGAACGAGACCTTGACCACAAGGAACGACGCCACACACACCTCGGGGCTCGCAGGATCGCGCCCCTTGGCCTGCAGCCGCCGCTCCTCCACAAGCCGCGTGTCCTCCGGAATCTTTTCCCGGTACGCCGCAGAGTTGATGTGCGCCATCTGGATGGCCGTCGCACGCCGGTCGTGATTGTCCTTGGGGTAGAAGCACGGGTACGCCAGAATCTGCCGGAGCCAGGTAAAGTCGCCCTCGTACCGCACCTTGGACGAGGTACACACCGCCTCCAACAGCTCTGTTTTGGCCTTGTGCTGCGCCTCGCTCATCGTCTCAAACTCGCCCAGCCGGTACAGCGAGAGCACCTGCGACATCAGCGACCCAATGTCGTACCACGAGTTGCACTGCCAAAAGTTCTTCTCGCACACATCGTACACGTGGAACATCTTGTTGACAATGTCGTAGTCCACCGTGTACAGCCGCTTGAAGCCCGGCGTGTACCCGTTCTCGTCCGGGCCCCACTGCACAAAGTGCTTGTTGTGGTACACCACGCCGCCCGAGAACGCAGCCTGCAGCTCCTCATCCGTCGGGTTCGACGCCCACCGCCGCGCGTCCGCAACCTTGCCCCACGCCCGCTGTCCACGCCACATCGACGCGCACGTCAGTGCCTTGGCCTTGCGCCGCGACGCAAGCGGCTCCTCGCCCTCGTAGTCAAACGACGCAAGGTCTGTGATCATCGGCACCCCGCCCATCTGCCCAGACACCTCCTCGGCCGCCGCATACAGCGTGTCGCGGAAGCCGCTCCAGATGCCCAGCGCCACCACAAGGCCCTCGGTCACGTCCGACCGGTCGATCGCGTGCCAGTAGCAGCAGTACGACGCCGTGAACGTCGCCACGCCATCCACCACAACAACGCGCTCCTCAGACGGGAGGCCCGGGTTCGCGTGCACAAGCCGGATCGATGACAGCGTCCGCAGCTTCTCCGCCCCGTCAGAGTTTTGCTCCACAAGCTCCTTGAGCGCGTACACAATCCACCGGTACAGGTACCAGTCGTTGGTCATGTACGGCCAGGTCTTGATCGGGTTCGCCGCTCCCTCAAACGAGGCCCAGTCCACCTCGAGCGCAACCGTGCTCGCAACAACCCCTTCCACCGCAAGCAGCTCGTCGAGCTCTGCCTGCCGCTTGGCAATCTTCTCCTCGGCCTTGGCGCGATAGTCGGCAAACGTCGCCTCCTTCCACACCACGCACTGGCACGGCGCCTGTCCCGTGTACGCCTCCTCGCCGTACTGCGCCCGCCACCCGCAGTCACAGTAGCACCGCGTCTCGCGCGGCTCGGTCAGATCATGCCCGGCGTGGCACTTTTCCGCACACGCAGCACACGCTCCTGTTCACACACACATATACCATCCGAAAATACATCACGTGCATGAGTCCTGCGCCTGATCGATCAACAGCGTGTCGTCGCCCTAGTGGGGGACGACAGGAGAGGGGGGGAGGGAGGGCTTCGCGGGAGGTGGTCACTGGAGGAGTGCGGAAAGTAGGTGGCGGTGACAACAAGAGTCATACGGCTGTCTACGCAAGCTCAAACGGTCGATGACTGGCTTGCACGCCGTGGTAGAGGTGGTGGTGTGGGCATGGTCAAGGAGGTGGAAAGGATCACGGGTTGCGAAAAATTAGCACACCAGCCGAAAAAGGGCGTGAAAGCGACGATGGAGCGGTCATCGCCCTGGCCATGGACAACCGACTCTCGCCACCAATGACACTCAAAATGGTAGCCGATGGTGACTAAAGGCATGGAGATGGTACCTTGGGGGTGTTTGTCGAACGACACGGTCCACATGCTCCTGCAGTGGCTGACAAGTTGGAGGGCCTAGGCGAAAAGAAACAGCAATGAAAAGCAACACGTGCGGGACGACACGGCAAGAGGGGGGGGAAGGGGACCCCGGGGGGGGGGGGGGGGGATGGGCGTACCGTAGCAACCGGTGAGGCCGCATGTGCGGCAGCCAAAGAACGATTGCACTTCATAGCGGGAGCCTGTGGCAATGACGGTGCAGGAACCGGCAGGTCCTGGTGTGGGTTGGCGCGGGAGCTGAGACATGCTTGCGCGAGAGTTGGGTGGCAATGGCAAGTGGCGATTGGCTGCGGATGTCAGTCGGAGCAATCATTTTTGCGGACACAGGGCCGGATGGCTATGGCTGGCGAAGTAGGAGGACAATCAGTGTTTAGCCCGCAGCGGGGGGGGGGGGGGGAGAGAGGGAGGAAGGGGGGCCAGGTAAGTGCAGATCAATGATCAATTGTTGTTGTTTCTGCTCCGCCTGCCTCCGCGACGGTTGCGGCGTCTGCGATTTCCGCCACCGCCGCCGCCGCCGCCGCCGCCGCCGCCGCTGTCGTTGGCGGGAGGCTGGCGGCCACGATCACGGCCGCGATCGCGGTCGCGGTCAGAGAAACGGTCACGGTCACGATCGCGGCGGTCACGGTCACGGTCGCGGCGGTCGCGGTCGCCGTGGCGGTCGCGCGCGTAGTCACGTTCGCGCGAGCGGGATCGCGAGCGCGGGCGGGAGCCGGAACCCGAGCCCAGCCGGTCGTGGACCGACGACGGGGCCAGAGACCGGGCCGCGGCCGGCGGCGGCGCGTAGCCATGGTGAAAGTGGTCCGGCGGCGGTGGAAGCGGCTGCGGCGGCGGGAGCAATTGCGGCGGCGGATGCAAGTGCGGCGGCGGGATGCCGCTCGGCCCAGCGTGCGGGTAGTCGTAAGCCACGGTGAGCGTGGTGCCGTCAAGGACAATGGGTGCGGCCGAGGCTGCCTCAAAGGCGGCAAAGGCCGCAGCATCGGACACAAAGTCGGCGTGGACAATGCCGGTAAACTTTCCCGAGTTTGGATGCTCATACGACGTGATCTCGTCGGCCAGCGGCGCCAGTGCCTTCAGCGCCGTCTCGATGTCAGCCGTTGCCGTCCACCACTGTGCATTCGAGACGTACAGCCGCGTGCGGCCCTGGAGCTGCGGCGGCGGCGGCGGCAGGCCGCCATCAGCCGGCAGCACAGCAACCACAGCGCCTGGCGCCGGTACGCCTTCCTCTACAGCAGCAGCGCCGCTCTCGACTGGGCCAGAACTTGCGTCCGATCCCGGAGCTGCTGCTGTAGACGCGGCAGCTGTCGCGACCGCGTCTCCTGTCGCCGGAGCTGCGGCCGATGTAGCGGCGGCTGGATCTCCGCCGTCAGGAGGACCACTCCCACCCAGCAGAATGGCCTGCACACGTTCAGATAGGGGAGGTGAGTGTGGGACTTGCTTCTACGCCCATGAGCAGCCAAGCCATCAGCGTGGCCACCACTACGCCCATGAGGAGACGGCCATCAGCACAGCCAGCCATCAGCACAGCCAGCCATCAGCACAGCCAGCCATCAGCACAGCCAGCCATCAGCACAGCCAGCCATCAGCACAGCCAGCCATCAGCACAGCCAGCCATCAGCACAGCCATCACTTTGCCCGTGGGCTGCCAGGCTAACGCCGACAAGAACGAGCGCGACATGCTGGCTCACTCCTGACCGCTCCACGGGCATGGCCATGACAGCCAGTCGAAGCAGCCAACCAGAAAGAGAGTGTGTGTGTCGTAGAGAGAGAGAAGGAGACGAGCAGAGCAGAGTCATGGTAGAGGGGGGGAGGGGGAGGGGGAGGGGAAGGGGGAGGGGGAGGGTGCAGTGGCTCGGGCTAGGTGGCGGCGCTGGCGGCGGAGCGGGGAAGGGGCGGGGCGCTGGGACCGGGAAGAGGCGGTGGTATGGGGAAGGGGCGGTGGGATGGGGGGAGAGGGTGGAGACGGGGGGGGCGTACATCGTAGAGGTCTTCGTCGTCCATCGTAGGTGCCTGGGAGTGGAGTGCAGATAGGGCAAGGTGCTCGGTGCTTGGCTAGGCTGGGTGGCGGAGACGGGCGTCATTGGTTGAGGGGGCGGAAGGGCGGTGGGGATTTAGTAGACGCGCTTGGAGGGCGGGACAGGCTCAAACTCCGAGTAGAGCGGCTTGTCCGACACGGCGCGGTAGTCGATGGAGACCTTGCCGGTATCCTCGTCGATCCAGGTGAGGGTGTGCTTCATCCAGTTCTCGTCGTCGCGGTCTGGGAAGTCGTCGCGGGCGTGGGCACCACGCGACTCCTTCCGGTTCTCGGCGGCGTTGATGGTCTGGACGGCCGAGGTGAGCAGGTTCTTGAGCTCAAGGGCTTCGATGAGGTCCGAGTTCCAGACAAGCGAGCGGTCAGTGATGCCGATGTCCTTGTAGGCGTTCCAGGCCTCGGCCATCTCGCCGACGCCAGCGGCGAGCGAGTCCTGCGTCCGGTACACGGCCGCGCGGTTCTGCATGGTGTTCTGCATCTGGGCACGGATGGCCGACGTCGGCGTTGCGCCCTTGGCGTAGCGCAGCTCGTGAAGCGAGTCGATGGCCTTGTCGCCCTTGTCCGACTCGAACGCCGGGCCGCCCTGGCCAGGCTTGACAATCTCGGCGATGCGGTGTGCGCACGAGCGGCCAAAGACCACGAGGTCGAGGAGCGAGTTAGCGCCGAGGCGGTTGGCGCCGTGAACCGAGGCGCACGCGGCCTCGCCGGCCGCAAACAGGCCGCCCACAACCGCCGAGTCGTCGTTGCCGCGCTTGGTCAGCACCTCGCCGCGGTGGTTCGTCGGAATGCCGCCCATGTTGTAGTGGACGGTCGGCACAATCGGAATCGACTCGTGGTTGACGTCAACGCCGGCAAAGATGGCCGCCGTCTCGGAAATGCCCGGCAGCCGCTCCGCGAGCACCTCGGGCGGGAGGTGCGAGAGCTGCAGGTGGACGTAGTCCTTGTTCGGGCCGCAGCCGCGGCCCTCGAGAATCTCGACCGTAATCGCCCGCGAGACAACGTCGCGCGACGCAAGCTCCTTGGCCGTCGGCGCGTACCGCTCCATGAACCGCTCGCCGTCGGCGTTGAGCAGGTAGCCGCCCTCGCCGCGCGCACCCTCCGTGATGAGGCACCCGGCGCCGGCAATGCCCGACGGGTGGAACTGCACAAACTCGACGTCAGAGAGCGGGAGGCCGGCCCGCGAGACCATGGCGCCACCGTCGCCGGTGCAGGTGTGCGCCGAGGTGCAAGACGCGTACGCACGCCCGTACCCGCCCGTCGCAATGACCGTCGCCGCAGCCGAAATCCGGTGCAGGACCCCGGTCTCCATGTCCATCGTCATCAGGCCAAGGCACCGCTCGCCGGCATCGTCCATAATGAGGTCCAGCGCAAACGACTCGACGTGAAAGTCGACGCCGGCCTTGACCGCCGCACCGTACAGGGTGTGGAGCATGGCATGCCCAGTCCGGTCAGCCGCACACGCCGTCCGGTGCGCCTGTCCGCCCTTGCCAAACTCCAGCGACTGCCCGCCAAACGGCCGCTGGTAGATCTTGCCCTCGGCAGTCCGCGAGAATGGCACGCCGTAGTTCTCGAGCTCAATGACCGCGTCCACAGCCGTGTTGGCCATGTACGAGATGGCGTCCTGGTCGCCGAGCCAGTCCGAGCCCTTGACAGTGTCGTAGAACAGGTACCGCGGGTCGTCGTCGTGCATCGACCCCAGCGGGGCGTTGATTCCGCCCTGCGCAGCCACCGTGTGGCTCCGCGTCGGGAAGAGAGCCGTGACGCAGAGGGTGTTGAGGCCGGCCTCCTGGAGACCCACCGCAGCCCGGAGACCCGCGCCACCGGCACCCACCACCACAGCGTCCACCTTGTGGTCCACAATTTCATACTCCTTGGCCGGAACATGCACACTCCGCACTCCACTCGAGGCAGCAAGCCCTCCGGCAGTAGAAGCCGCAGCAGCAGCAGCCGCCGCTCCGCGCCCAGCAACGGCGCTCGTCTGACGCGCTGCTCCGCCCACAAAAATCGATCCAACGCGCAGCACTGGTATCATTCCGTCCCGTCCCGAGGCATGGGTATAGCCATGGGGCACAAAGTGAGGGGGTTTGAGGGGTGAGTGGGGAAGAGAGAGAGAGAGGGAGACGGCCGGGTGACGGGGGGGTGCAAGGGTGCGTACTTGTGTTTGAACAGAGGGGTGTGCTCGAAGAGACACTGCCGGGAAGGTCGTGGGGGGGGGGAGGGGGGGCGGGTGTCTCTGGCTGTCGTTCTCGGTTGGTCGCCCGCTGTTCGGCAGATGACGGCTGACGAGCACCAGTGTTGCGCCAACGTGTCGCGTTGGAGCTTGTCCAACCTCTGTCGGGTGGGGATGGAGGAGGGAAGGGGAAGGGCAAGGGGAAACATTGTGGTTAGATGGGATTATGTGCTCATTGGTGTGATCGCGGTGTGCAGCATGCGGAGGATAGAGGGTGTAGGCGAGCGGGGCGGGTCGTGGTGATGCCGATTGGGTTTCGGCTGACGAGCACCAACCATCGCCGCCCTGGCCAACGCCATGGCCGCCGTCATGGCCGCCGCCATGGCCACCACCCTGGCCACCGCCCTGGTCAACGCCATGGCCAACACCATGACCGTCGCCATCGATCAGTGTGTGATCTGGGCATGGAGATATCTCGGTGAGGGCAGGTCATGGCACACCAGCCACACTTACCGCCAGCCGTCGAGGCCCGGCGAGCCGAGGCCGAGGCCGAGCTCCCCCCCCTTTGCACACGTCAGCAAATAGCAGGCATCACGACAGCACCGACGTTGGCGACAACGCGCATGACAGTTGTCGGTCGGCGTCCGAACCACATGCGATGACTCTCCAGCACGAGTCCTGAGATCGATGCGTATTTCCTTCTTTTCGTTCGCAGCCGCTACAGGCCATTCCCCCGTTTGGGCGCAGCTGGTCGGCAACGAAACCAAGCGTAAAGCCGCCTGTCGCGCCGAATCGGGGGCAGTGAGCACTCGCCGCCACACCCTCACGCACGGCACGCCGACCGCACTCGATGAGGAACTTGAGCGCGGGCTCGTCGTCAGCCTCGTCGTCAGCCTCGCCGTCGTTCGCCTCGTTGCCCCGCTCGCTGCCTGTAGCGAGCTCGGCGTCGGCGTCGGTGACCGAGAGCTCATGCTCGCTCGATACCGATGAGAAGGACCTGGTCTTGGCCCATCTCCCAGCTGTGCTTGCTCCGCCGCCTCCGCATCATCTGAATCTTGTTGTGCCGCGGAAAGCGCTTGCGTGTCTCATGCCTTCCACTGCGCGAGACACATCTGACCGCCCGCCCTGGTACCAGACCGCCGAGGTCATCGGGTTTGATCCTGATGATGATGATGACGATGACGACGACGGCCGAGACGGCAGTCATGGGTTGGCGCGTTCCGCCAGCGCTGCGTCGACCTCTTCGGGTGTCGGCTGCGGCGATGTTGAGCTTGGATTGCTCAGGACAGAGAGTGCTGCCTCGCCCGCAATTGCCACCGTCCAAGACTTGCCCGCTGAGCTGCTGCTGCTCATCTTCTCGTACCTGGATCTCGGCGGCCTGCTGAGCGCGACAAGAGTGTGTCGGACTTGGCGTTACTGGGCGAGCGATCCGTCGCTCTGGAAGCACATCACGAAGCTTAGCGAACTCCAGTTTGAACTGAATGTGAGCAGGATGGAGCGCATTCCGAACAGCGTGGCAACCTCCCACCCGAACCTCTCCTTGACTGCCGGTAAGTCGCCACGCGAGTTCGTCTTGCATCTGCTCAGCCAGCGCCGGATGGTTGCCGAAGCGCATCGCCTACGGAAACAGCGGGAGTGTCGTCAGAAGGTCTGCCGCAGCTCCCAGCCCAACGTTCATACCGTCCAGTCGCTCCGCGAGCGCTACCGCGAGACGGTGGTGATGTCTTTGGCGCTCCCGCTGCTAATGGCGCTGCTCTGGACTCTAGTCATGCTCATGGCAGCCAAGATCGATGGCTTTATCTCGCTGCACTGGGCGCTCGTCCTGGCTCCGCTCGAGCTTGTGGTCCTCCTCCTCCCATTCGCCCGCACCATCGACCGGTTCTACATCGGCGTGAACCACAAGCCGAGGCGCGTCCGCTGGTGGGTGGTGAGCGAGAGCCTGGCGGGTTGCTTGGCCTTGGCAGTCGCCGGCTGGGTTGTGGCCATCGGAGCACGCGTCGAAGGTGACATCACCTGGCCCTGGTCTGCTCTCCTGCTTCCCATTTATCTCCTCGTCATGGGCTTTCTCGCTCTCAACTGCGCCTGGTGTGTCGACGTCGGCTGGGATCGAACCTTGCACGACTCGGGCTGGCATCGCGTGACAGGCATCCAAACCCTAATGGCGGCGACCACCATGGCCCTCGCTCTGCCTACCTTTATTGTTTTCCTTGGCCTCAAACTCCACGGCACTGTGGCGTGGAACTGGTGGCTGGTCTTTGCTCCGCTCCTGATCGCGATGGCTGTCCCTGTCATCGGTCTCATCGGCTACGAGATCGACCTTTACTTTGATGGCAGCTCCCAGATGGGTACGTACTTTGCCACCTGCCTGGCCTTTGCCCTCCCGCTCTTTGTCTTTGTTACCCTCGTCGCCGCTCTTGCAGCCAAGCCCGGCGCCTTCTCGGCCTTTGTCCTCTTTGTCCCGCTCTACCCTACCATGGTCTTCGGCCTCTGCGCTACCTTCGTTCCGCCCACTCGTCTCTCAAGTAATCGACAGCGGCTGGCCAAGGTAGCCAACCCCGTGGTTGTCCTGTAGCCCTCACTCTTGCACAGTACACTCACACTCCCGGTCTACCCGAGATCACATGTTCGCGCGGGCCTTGAGCAGAAATGGACGACGGCTTCCACGCTGCCGCCCAACCCCAAAACGGCGCGCACTTGGCAATCACTGGACCAACACTCGCTTGCATCAGCCCGTGGGCCGCAACGTCTGCTCACGGAGCCAGTCTCGGCCTGCCTGTATGTTGCGCGTCTGCGATGAGCCCACGCTGCGCGCGCCACAGCTCGGTGAGCTGCCTGACAGCTACTCTTCAGATTTGGACTCGGACGAGGGGCTGCTAGTCCGGGGAGAGTACCCGGCGTGTCCTGTCCGTCGACATGCCCTCTACCTCGAGATCCGAGTCCCGTCTCGCATCAATGCCATCGCCGGCATGCTGGAGGGGGGGCTGCCAAGCAGAGGCCGGGGCGAGAGTGCGGACGAGTTCTTTGTCGACAGCGACGATGAGTGCGATGCGGAAGCCGACGTCGCGACCGGCAACGTCACCATTGCACAACTTCCCGCCGAGCTGATGGTCGAGATCTTCGCGCACCTTGATCTCATCTCCCTTGTGCGCTGCAGCGCAGTGAGCGTGCGCTGGCGGAAGTGGTCGCGGGAGCCGTGGCTGTGGCAGCCATTCCTCAGCTGGGATGGCATGCAAGCGGCGATCGTGGCTGTAGGCATGGCTCCGGCACCGCCGCGGACCTCGATCATGGCGCAGATATGCATAGAGCCGATGCAGCACGAGAAAGGACACTGCTACGCCGCCCGCTTTATGCGCGCCCGCAAGCAGCAACGCGCGCAGAACCGGATTGATCTGCTGGCGACGAAGCGGCGCCAGGCGGCCCAGGGGTTTGCCTCGCAGAGTGCGGTACTGATCAAGAGGCGCCAGCACGAGGAGATCAAGCGACGTAGGACTCTGGCAAAGTGCGTTGTTGTTGGCGTAACTCTTGCGTTGATCTGGCTGACGGTTGTGCTGGCAATGGGCAAGATGGGTGGCATGATCAGGCTAGGATGGTGGGTGGTGCTGCTCCCGCTGGCAACAGTGAGCCTCATCCCACCGTGCATTCCTCCCATTCAGCAGTGGTACATTGCGCGGAAGTCGAAGCACGTGAGGATGGGTGTGAGCTGGTTGGTGGCCGAGGCGATGGTGACAGCAGTCTGCGTCGTGGTAGCCAGCTGGATCGCGGCGGTCGGACTCCGCGCCGACGGTATCGTGACCTGGAGCTGGCCGGTAGTTCTCATCCCACTGTACCTGATGACGCTTGCGGCCCTCATCACCCTTGTAGCTCTCTGGCGAGGCGACGGTGTGTGGCGCGTCCGGAACTGGCACGGGCGACGGGATCGGTGGGTTGGTGCAAGCATGGTGGCCTCGACCGCGATCCAAGCCGTGTTGCTCCCGCTCGGCGTCGTCTTTCTGGCACTACGACTTGGCGAGGTGGTGGCGTGGACGTGGTGGATAGCACTCGCGCCGCTGCTCGGCTTCTTTACAGCTCCAATGCTCGGCATGCTGGCGATTGAAGCCGGCGGGTACTGCGCGTACAGGAGGAGAAAGCCGGGAGGATTCTGGGCAGTGTGGGCAACGTGCGGCCCAGCTCCACTGCTCGTCTTTACCGCGCTTGCTGCCGCCAAGGCCGAGAATCCCACCTCGATCTCGGCCAGCGTCCTCTTCTTCCCGCTTGGATGCAGCCTCTTCGCCATGAGCGCCGCAGCATGCACGATCCTCTCCCGCGATCTGAGCATCCAGTGCACTGTCCTGTCAACATTGCAAGAGCCGAAATACGTCCTGGATGGAAGCGAGAGGCATCCATGGGGCGTGCTGATCTGAACTGATCTGGTTTCTGGTCCGGCCTTGGACCTCGGTAGGAAGAGGGCCTCGAGAAGACCGGTCACGGGCGTCAGTCTTGCGGCAGCACATCCCCATCAAAAACGTTCCCATCATCACAGCCCTCAGCGCCTTGACCATCCCCCTGCTGGGGTCAACCCCAAGTCTCAAGCGACAATCCGGAACGAGTTCCAGGAAGGTTGCTGCCGAGAACGAGGTCGGTCACGATGTCGGGTACACATCGGTGGTGGTGGTTGGGAAGATGAAGATGATGGGAGCCGTTGTCCACCCTCACCACAGTGATCGTGCGTCTGCCCATGTATGGTTTGGCCGATGATGTGCGTCCAAAGGCCACAATTTCGCTCACCCGTCGCAACCGTCACTGCGAGTGAAACAGACGGGCCAACCAACGCACGTTGCGTGACGGAGCGACCTCAACACATAGCTCGTCCCCCCCCCCCCCCCACCCCCACCCCACCCCACCCCCTACAAACACACACACACACAAGCCCAACACAGAGCGAGTACTATGGCTTACGTCCCGTCCCGGCTCATTGAGCAGCGGCGTAGGCGTGAGGATGCCATCCGTGCCCACCAGGAAAAGGTACGTCCAGCCAGACACAATGTGCGCGCGCAGCCCGAGTGAGTGAGCCGTTTGTGGCCTTTGGCGGGAGAAGGAGGAGGACCTGGGGTCGGCCAAGGGCAAGGGGCAGGCGCCCCACACACCGACTGCATGCTGCCCTCCCCATTGCTGCTACACGCACCATCACCTCCACGCTACTATGCCCCCCCCTCCCCCCCCCCCTCCCTGCACCCATGTCCAGCTCCGAGTCGGGAGAGCGGGTGTTGGACGGGAAGGCGGGAGCGGCGTGAGGAGGGGGACATTGGCCATGGCTGCTGGTCTGCTGCCCCCCACCCCCCCCCCGCATGGGCCATGGCTGCTGGTCTGCTGAGTCTGCCCATAGCCATTACCCCTCCCCCCCCCCCCCTTTCCGCCCAACTCACTCTCATCCCTCCCCCCACACAGGTCAACTACCTCAACGAGGCACAGCTCAAGGCGGAGTTTGAGCAGCGGACAAACAAGCGGATCCGGACCAACAACGTGCGGCGAACGTACGATTCGTTGAAGGAGGCCGACGATGAGGCGCTGGCGACCCGCAAGGCCAAGCTGAGGCAGATGTACGCACAGGAAGAGCAGGTTCTCCGCGAGGAGATCGCGCTGACGTACGAGACGCCCGAGCAGCGGATCGAGCGCATGCGCGCCCGCGCGCAACAGCTGCGTGAGGAGCGTGAGGATGAGCGGGCCAAGTTTGCGCAAGAGCAGATGGACCGCCGCTGGCGGGCCGAGTGTGACGAGATCCGCCACCTCAAGTCGCAAAAGATGCAGCAGATGGTCAACGCTGAGCGCGAGCAGCAGCTCGAAATCAAGGCCCGCCAGCGTGAGGCCCGGTTCCAGGAGGAGGCCGAGTATGCTGCCCAGTGGGAGGCCAACCGCCAGCTTAAGATCGAGCGCGAGGTCCAGGACCGCCAGCGCGCCGCTATGCTCACCCGCGAGATGATGGGCACTCTCGAGGACCAGATGGCCGAGCACGCGGCACGCAAGGCCGCCGCCGAGGCCATCAAGACTGAAGAGGCTGCCCTCCTCCAGCAACAGTGGGAGCTCGACGCCATGGCCGCAGACCGCCGCAAGCTCCTGCACGCTCAGCAGACCGCAGACCGCCGCGCCGAGCTCGACTACTACAACCAGCTCTCGCTTGCCCGTCGCCAGGAGGAGGCCCGCCGCGAGCGCGAGAACGACATCAAGATCATCAACGACCTCGTCGAGGCCGAAAAGGGCGTCGAGGAGCGCGAGGCTGCCACCCGCCTCGCTCTCAAGGCCGAGGCCCTCGAGTATCGCTCCCACCTGCTCCGCCAGATGGAGCGTGAGGCCGCCAACGATGCAAAGCTCGACCGCATGCGCGCCGAGCAGCTCGAAGTCGAGTGGGCCAAGCGTCAGGCCCAGTGGGATGCAGAGGCCCGTGCCCGCGAGGCGCTCATGGCCGAGGTCTTCGAGGCCCGCCGCCAGCAGATTGCCATCAAGCTCGCCCGCAAGGCCGAGGAGCGCCGCGAGCAGGTCCTCGCCTGCGAGCGCCTGGAGCGCGAGATGGAGATGGCAAAGGTCGCAGAGTCACAAGAGGCCGCAAACAAGCTCGCCAAGGAGCGCGAGTACAAGCGCGCTCTTCTCATCCAGGCCGAGCAGCGCGCCACCGCACGCGACCGCGCCGAGGAGCGCGAGCGCCGCGAATACGAGTCCATGCGCGAGGAGCGCGAGGCCTACGAGCGCCGCCTCGCCCGCGAGCTGCAGCGTGACGTCTCGCTCGGCGACCACCGCCGCACAAAGGCCTCGGTCTACCACGGGTAGCCGTGCCTCGATTCTGCAGGCCACCTTTAAAACGCTGTCGTGTACTACGTCGTGACCAAATGCCACGGGAACCGCCCTTGCCCGCTGTCCTCGTCGTCGGCGTAGTCGATGGCGTGCAGGGGCTTGAACGCGAGGATGTGGACAGAGCCGTCGATACATGACGCCACCAGCACGTTGTCCTCAAACGCCATGGCGCACACCGGGGATCCGAGCACTATCGTCCGCGCAGCCCACGCCACGCGGTCGCGGTGCAGTCGTGTCGAGTACTTGTCGACATCGCGCTCGTTGGTCGTCGCCCGCGGATCAAACACCACTTCAGAGAGCGAGCCGTGGTCAACCTCAAGCGCGCCCTTGCCCACTGTCCGCATCCGTGCCACCTGCGGGCGGACCTGGAAGACCAGATCTGTGCCTTCGGTCTGCATACTCGTCGTTTCGGTCAGGTCCGCCCGCGTTGACTCGGTCTTCGAGTCTGATGTCGATGAGCCCGAGTCCGAGTCCGACCCCGAGTCCGACCCCGAGTCCGACCCCGAGTCCGATCCCGAGCCTGATCCCGAACTGGAGGAGGAGCTCGAGCTTGACGACGACGTGCCAGACTTTGTTTTCAGCGAAAAGGCGGCCAGGTTTGAGTAGGCCAACGAGCTGGCCGAGCTGTCGAGCGTCGTCTGCGAGTCCGCATGCACTTCGCGGACGCTTTGTAGCATGACGTTGGCCATTGCCATGCTCGATTCAAAGGTGGCCTCAGCAATGTCGTCAAACGGCCGCGGTGCAAGCGAGGTGAGCGCGCCAGCCAAGCTTGCTCGCCGCACCTGCGCCTTTGTGCTCTTGGTCCTTCGTGGCGAGAGCAGGTTGGTGTCATCGCGGGTGCACGACGACGTAGACGACATGCTCGCTCGTCGCCCCGATTTGCCCGAGACCGATTGCGCTCGCCGCCGCTGCCGCCGCCGCTTCGGGCTGCTTCGCTGCAGTCCACCGCTGGTTCCCCACGAGCCCGTGGGCGTCGAAGCAGCCGACTCGGTCGGCACAATGTTGACCGCCAGCTGTGGTACAACCATCGCCTCGCGCGGCGTCGAACCCCTTCGCGGGCCTGCCATTCCGGCGGCAGCCCACAGATCTGGCGCAGTCGACGTCTTAACCGGCCCTGGTGGCCGGACAGGCGCGTCGAGCCCGGCCCGAGACGAAGGGCGCGAGATTGACTCCGACCGCGACGCAGACCGTGACCCCGACCGCGAGCCTGAGATCGATGTCCGTCGTCGTAGCGACCGTAGCTGATGGGCCGCTGTCGGCGCTGGCCGCGGCTTGGTTGACGAAACCGAGGCAATGAACGCCGTGTTGAAGTCGCACGACTCTGACGAGGCGGTGGTCGAGCTTGACAGGGTCGAGAGCGAGAGTTGCCGCAGAGCAGAGTGGCCATCACCTTTGCGGACAGCCCCCGGCTTTTGTCGGCTCTGTGGCTCGAGCGCCTTGAACGACTGCGATGCAGCCTTGAGTGCCGCTGCAGCCAGCGATGGCTTAAAGGCAAAGCACCGGGTGGAGAGCAGCCCACGCTGGCGGCTCCGCTCAGCGCGTTCCTTCTGCTTCCTCCGCAGCGCACGCTCGGCCACGGTGGCCGACGACAGACCCGACCGCGGCAGCTCGACCGGGTTCGAAAGAGCGGCCTCGGCGCGGGCGGCGCGAGAAGCCGCTGCCGCCTCTCGGCGCTGCTCGCGAATGGAGGCGGCAAGTCGGGCCCGCGCCCGTGGACCGTGTGCGGTCCCGCCAGGCCGAGGACGGAACTGAGCCCGTGCCTCGGCCTGGAGCGCAAACGAGGGCTCGGTATCGCCGCGCTGCCATCGAGTGAGGTAGTCCATGTAGTCCTGCGGAGTCGCCGAGGTAGAGATGCGGAGCCAGTGCTTTGCTTCGAGGACGCGGTCGTTGATGGTGGTGAGGACCGAGGAGCGGAGCATGGTCCGCAGTCGCGACCACTTGGCCTTGCCTGCCTGGCCGCGCACCGTCTCGACCTCGGCGCGGATGTCCGGATACTCGAGCGCGAGTTGAGACCACTCGGAAGCGGTAAACACGTTGGCTGAGACCGACTCGGGCCGCCGAGTCGCCAGTCCTCGGGTAGTGAGCGGCGGAAGCGCTGTCGAGGCGCCGTGCGTTGGCCGAACCACCGGACCGCGGGCCGGCCGTGGGCCGCGTGGCGGCCGCGGCGCGGGGCCACGCGGTGGTCGCGGGCCGCTTGGCGGGCTCGGCTGCTTCTTCGAGCTGCGCATGCTCTCGGCACCAGAAGCGTGTGCAGCCATGATATGCAGAGGCGCAAAGCGAGCCGAGTCACCCAGCGCAGCCAGGCGCCAAACCCGAAGCGAGCCGTCGTCTGACGCCGTCACAAGCTTGGAGCCTGAGACCTGGAGAGCAGTGATGCCGGCGCGATGGCCGACAAGGACAACGTCGACAGCCGGTGAGCCGCGAGTGGAGTCCAGGCGCCAGACCCGGGCGTTGCCGTCCGAGTGGCCCGAGACAAAGTAGTCTGGCCCAGGCGAGACAGCCCAGGCACGAGCCAGGCCCTTGGACGATGGCAGTGAGAGTAGCGACTTGGCCGAGTCGACGCGCCACACGCGGAGGACGCCGTCGTTGCCTGCCGTGACAAAGTGCGAGGCCTCGGCCGAGGCCAGCCAGGAGATGCGTTCGAGACCGGCGGCGTGGCCGCCAAAGACCCGAAGGCAAGCAGCGGTGGCGCCGTCCCACAGGCGAGCGGTCTTGTCGACCGATGCCGAGAGCAGCAGGCCTAGATCGTTGCGAGCCGACCAGGCTGGCTCGACGTCGGTGACGGCGTCGTCGTGGCCAACAAAGACGGCGACGCACATGGGCAGCGTCGACGAGATATCCCACTTGGCGAGCTTTGAGCCGCCAACCACTAGCACCTCGCCACCCGGCGAGAGTGCTCCGCAGGCAAGCGGATAGCCGGTGGAGAAGGCGACGGTCGGCGGCGGAAGGCCGCGGTTGGCGATGAGCGAGAGCGAGGCGCGGATGGCGGCATAGCCGCAGATGGTGCCGTGGGCGCCGATGAGGATCAGGTCGGACTTGGGCGGCGGAGCGAGGAGGACGGCCACGGCCGGCTGGCCGGCAAGCGGGTGCGGTAGCTCCAGGTGGCGCAGCGGTGTGCGGACCCACTCGCGCTCCTCGGCGTACCGCGCCGTGTAGACCTCGCGCATGGCCGCCGCGCCCGGCCTGCCGCTCCCACCGGGCAGGCCCGCCGCCGACAGCGGCAGCGTCCGCGCAAAGTGCCGCACATACAGCCGCCGCCACAGCGAGTCAGAGGTGGCCACCGTCGTCGCCCAGTGCCGGCACACCCGGGCCGCCAGGGCCAGGCCCGGGCCGTCCAGCCACGCCAGCACAAGCAGTAGCAGCGGGCGGTACTTTGCCGAGCACAACACAACCTCGCGCGCCTGTCGGTATGCCCGTGCGGGGAACCGCTGGCCCCACATAGTGGAGGAAGGGGGGGGGGGGGGGGAGGGGAGGAGGAGGGCGTGGTCAAGTGCCGGGTGGGCGTGGGCGGCGGGGGGGAGGGTGGCGAGCGGTGCCTGTCGGGCGGAGAAGTGTGGGCTCGCCATCGGCAGCGGGCACAGATAGCGGACGCAGGCAGCTGGGCTGCTGCCTCCGGCGGAGCAGGACATCTCTCGGCACGACATGGCAGATGGCGGCAGCGGCGCCTCGGGCCTGCGCCTGACGTTCCCCAGGTCGTGTCTGGTGGCGCTGCGCGGGATGTGGGTGCGGTCGCAGGAGCTTGGCGTCGAGCTGGCCGGCGTGCTCGAGGTGGCCGGCGACGGGACGGTGGCGATGGCCACGAGCCAGGTCGAGGCCGAGGCGCGGTGTGGATACGCAACCGACGGGTACACGGTGGCGGACACGGCGGCCGACGACGCGGCGTACACCTTTCACACCCATCCAATCGAGTTTGACAACGACGACGAGGCGCCGATCAATGTGCCGAACCTCATCTCGTCCGAGGACATGATCGGCGCAGTCCAGGATGCCGCCGCCAACTCTGGCTTCCTCTCCAACCCGACAGGTGCCAACATGGTTGACGTCCTCCTTTCCCCGCTCGGCATTTTTGTCTACGGTGCCGGCCGGGGCGTGCTCGACAAGTGGGAAAGCTGCGAGCCGGAGATCACCCGCGCGATGGCCGTCGAATACGCCGCCCACTTTGCGCGCTCATCGCGCGGCCTGCGACGGGCGGCTAGGGCCAAGCTTGAGACCGACATCCTCACACTCGACAACGACGGTCTCAAGGCTCACATCGCCGCCCACCAGGACTCGCGCAACATGTTCTTTGCCGAAGTTGAGAACGGGATGATGAACGACGCCTTTGACGCCTACATCGGCTCGTGGGGCTATCTGCAGGAGGGCAAGGGCCTGTACGCAGAGGTCATCGCGCCGCAGTTTGAGGATCTTGGCTACACTATGCCTGGCTGCCGGATCGCCCCGTCGGCGCCTCGAGTTGTGCAAGAGGCCTGGTTCTCGTCGGCCGAGTTTCTGGCGGCCGATCCGAGTCGCGGCTATGCCGAGCTGGACGCGTACCTGGCGCTGCTGCGCGACGAGGGCTTTCGAGTTGCGTTTGTGTCATGGGCAGCGCTGGCAAGCGAGGCCGGAGCGAGCGTGAGCATGTGACGTTGGGAAGCAGGTGCTACTCTGACGACGACGGCGCCGGCGCCGGCGCCGATGCCGACGCTGACGACGAGGAGGCAGTTTCGGGGTCGAGAAACGTGATGGCGCGCTCGATCTCTGACTCTGGGAACCGAGCGAGCGGGTTGTACCGCCACTCTTTGGCGTCGGCAGGGAATGAGCCGTCGCGGAGCTCGACGAGGAAGCGGACAAGTAGCGTTGGTGAGACCTCTTCCTTGAGGAGCGAGAGCGAGAGCGGGGCATTGTGGACGGCGGCAACGAGTGAGGGCAGGAGGATGGGACGGAGCGCCGGGGACGAAAAGTACTTGAACGGCAACGTGGTCATGCGTTGAAGCAAGGTGGGGCGGCGGCCGGTGGCGAGCGCCTCCTGTGCATCAGAATTGAACGCCGCGTAGTAGCCGATGAGCAGGAGGAGCTCGGCAAGGAGCATCTCTGCCGACGAGCCAGCCGATGTGCAAAAGACAAAGAGGTTGGTGAACATGTGGACGGCCTCCTGTCGCGAGAGCAGCGACTCTTCGGTGAGCGCGGTCTGGACGAGGACCGCGTCCGACGCCGCAACCGTGTTCATGAGGCGGAGCGCGAGCTCAAAGACGGTGAGTGTCGCCGGCGACAGCGCCGGCACGGAGTCGGCGGTTTCGAGAGGGCCAGCGCGGAGGAGGATCGAGTTGAGAAACGTGACCATGTGCGCTGGGACTGAAGCCTGCTGGAACGCAGTGAGGAGGAGCGACCGGACGACAGTCGAGCCGGATGAGCCGTCGTCGTCGGCCGTGTCGCGCGCCGCGCCGGCGAGAGAGTTGAGCATCTGCAGCGCGCGAATGACAAAGGCGGTGGTGGGCGAGGGCGGCGAGCTAAACGTCAGCTCGCCGTACGTCATCATACAGTCGACGACGGCCTCAACAGCCTGCATGTGGACCGCCTGTTTGAGGAGGTTGGTGCGAAGCCGCCGGATCCGCGGTTCGAGCTCTGCAAAGCCTGCCGCGTCGTCGGGATCGAGCTTGCCCGCAAGTTCGGCAGACGCAGCGTCGCTGAGCTCAGGAGCGCTGTCGCGCGCCGAGCAGAGGATGGTGAACGCGCACACGAGGGAGGCTGCGGTCTCGAGCTCGCTCGGCACCAGCGTCTTGGAGACAAGCGTGATGGTAGCACGGACGAGTGCCGACGCCTTGCCTGACGCCAGAATGGCAAGCCTGACGTGGCGAGAGGCCCGAATAGCCTCGAGGAGCACGACCGAGGAAAGACCCAAGATTGAGGGCGGAACATTGCTGAGGGCAATGATGTCGAGGAGCGCAAAAATGACACCGTCCGAGGTGACCAGCCGCGACCAGGCCTCAAAGTGAACGCCTGACGTCGAGCCGCGCACCGACGGTAGTGAGTACAGCGCCGCAACGCGGCGGACGGCATGGAAGCCGCTCTGAACGTCGAGCGCGGTGAGGGCGCGCCCGCGCTCGGCAGCAGCTACAAACTCGCGCAACGCACTGGCGAGCGGGGTGAGGGAGGTCTTCTTTGGCGCCGGTGGCATGGCACCAAACTCGGCACGGCAGGCGGCGGCGATGACAGCCTCAAGCCCGTGCGGCGAGAGTCGTATGGCGGCGGCAGCGGCGCGGAGCTTCTTGCCCTTTTTGCGCCCAGCCTGAGCGCGGGCGGCGCGGGCCTCGCGCTCGGCAGCCGTGAGTGAGAGCAGGGCGGTGCGGGCGTCGACGACAGGCGAGTTGATCATGTCTCCGTCGGTGAGCGCAAGGCGGGCGGCGGCAACGACGTGGGCCTGCGACTTGAGATGTTTGGCGATGGAGGCCTTGGTTGGTGTTGGCAGGTCACTGACACAGACTCGGCAGATCTTGGGCTTGAGCGGGGCCGTACCCGGCCCAGCCGCGCCAACGATCCGCTTCTTGGCCGCGTCCTTGGCGCGCTTGGCCTTGGTCTTCTCCTCCTTCTTAGCGCGGAGCTCGGCAGTCCGGGCCTCGTCGCGGAGCAACCGCCGCTGCAGCTCGGCCCGCGACGCAGCCTCGGAGAGCTCGCGCACAATGGCGTTCTCCCGGACCTTGGCGTCTTCGGCCTGAGCCTTGCGGACTTTGGCGGCAAGTGCCTCCTCGCGTAGGACCGCAGCCTTGGCCTGCTTTTCGTCGGCGCGGGCGGCGCGTTCCTGCGCACGCTGCCGCTCGAGCTCACGGTGTGCGGCGACGCGCTCGTTGTGGTGTGATCGCGCCCGAAGGATTTTCTCCTGCTCGACCCGCTCGCGGGCTTCCTGTGCCCGTGCCTGCTTCTCGGCCGCAATACGTGCGGCCTCGTGCGGGTTGCGCTTCTTGCGCTCGGGCGACGAGAGCTTGCGGTGGAGGTTGCGTCCACGGGTTGGCGACTGCGGCGAGGTGTAGTCGGCCCATGCAAGCTTGCCTGACCGAGCAGCAAACTCCTGGAAAGGGTCAAACTCGCCCGTCGGCAGCTCGTCGTCGTCGCTCCATCCGGAGAGCGGTGCCGCTGCTGGCGAGGTCTCTGGTTTGCCCGAGCCAGACTCGGGTGAGACCTCTGACGAGGCCTCAAGCTCAAGATCGGGCAGCGGCTCGGACGGAGCCTTCGCCGTGCGTGGTGAAGTGGAGCGGTCGGCCGTGGCCGAAGAGCTGACGGCCGACGGCGAGAGATCGAGCGTGCGGCGAGCTGAGCGCATCCGGTTGGGGCTGTGCTGCGGCGAGCTGGCATTAGCAGCAGCCTGGGCTTTGGCCTTGGTCTGGGCCTTGGCCTTGGCTTTAGCCTTGGCCTTGGCTTTGGCCTTGGAGCCAGCCGGGGAAGCCGCCTGCGCGGCGACGGCGGCGACAGTGGCGGCGGCGGCGGATGCGGCCAGCGGGTTGCGGACGATGTTCGCCCACGAAATGGGTGCAGTCTTGGAGACGTATGCACCACGGACGTCCCACGAGATGGGCTTAGCCTTGGGCTCGTTCTGATGCGCAGTCTGCTTGCGGATGCGGTCAACAAGGAGGTCAAAGTCGGCCGACGACTTGGCGAGGACCCGGGCGACCTCCTCGCACTCGTCGACCGACTCGCGGACCTCGCAAAGCTGGTACAGCGAGTCGATCGAGGTGTGGACCGAGTCGATTAGCATCTGGAACCGCCGCCAGTGGTCCTTGTCTTCTTCGCTCCCGCGCGCCCGCCGCCCGCTCGCCCGGGCGGAGGCGGCGCTCTTTGAGCCGCGCGCGAGTTCTGGAGCCGCGCCGCGGCCGACGCGGGCGGCGGGTACAGCAGTGGGTGCAGGTGCAGCCGACCGTAGCATGGCTGGCGGCGAGCCAGCCGGCGACTTGGGTGGCGGGCTCTTCGCCGGGGATGCTGCCGCCGGGTCGGGTGGAGCGTCCGGGTCGGGCATGCCGGCGTACGGGTTGGCGCGCACAGAGGCGTCGTGCGGCGGGAGGCGGGCCGAGACCGAGCGGGCTCTGTTGCGGGCCCTGCGCTTGCCCTTGCCCACGCGGGTCCACCCTTCGGACGACATGTCTGCAGGGCGTATGGGGGGTGGGGTGGGGTGGGAGGGGGCTCACCCGGCAGCCTGGTACCCCCCCAGTCGTCAGGGCAGGGCGCGGTAGAATTCAATTCGGAAAGTTCCTGCACGACGGCACAATCCGGATGGAGGCTGAGCGGGAGGGCGGGCGGTCAGGCAAACGAGTGGGTAGTGAGCCAGAAAAAGGCGTTGAGCCAGCCCTCGATGTGGACGAGGGCGCGCTTGCGGGCGAGGATGCGGACGGCGGGCGGCGGGACGTACGAGCCCGGGCCATACCAGAGCCAGCGATCGCCGGCACGGCGGGCAACGCCGGCATCGTCAGTAAAGTTGAAGCGGGCGGTGAGGAGAAGGGCCTCCTCTTCGCCAAGAACGCAGGCCGTTCCGATGCCAACGTCGTCATCAAGGCGCTCGCCAGGCTGGAGGAAGAACGAGGTTGGGCCGAGGACAAGGCGCTGGGCGCCGATGTCGGGCTCGCCAGACTCGAGATCGACGGGATCGTTGACGACAGCGTACTCACCGTTGGCGAGGGTGATGAGGTCGTCGACGCTCACGACGTGCTCGGCAACGCCCGGAATGTGCATCTCGCGCATGGCCTTGGTCACCAGCCACTCGTCGCCAGTCTTGCGCTCGACACCGTAGACGTCGGTAAAGTCGTTTTCAGCCCGGAGGTGCAAGGCGGTGGTGTTGGTAAGGACGACGGCGTCGACAACGCCGACCACGATCTCCTCGACGTCCGGCAAGTACGCGCCCTCGGAGAGGACAAGCCACTCCTCGCCGGCAGAGCGAGCGGTCCCGGTAGAGTCGACCGTCGAGTTGCGGGCCTGCAGGCGGAGCGCCTGGTTGGGCCCGAGGACAACAGCCTTGAGCGTGTCGAGAATCTCCACTTCAACTTGCGGATAGTAGGTCCGATGGCCGCGGAAGAGCCACTCCTCGCCGGCGCAGCGCGCGACGGGCGCGTCTTCGGTGAGGCGGTCCGTAAAGTCGCGCGTGGCCCGCAGGCGCAGGGCCGTGTTCTCGGGCACAACCTGTAGCGGAATCATGGTCTTTGGCGTCAGCTCCTCGCCCGGATACAGCGCAAATGGGTCCGGGTAGTCGCGCGCCAGCCGGACCTCGCGGTCGCCGTGGCGCAGCTTGGCCTGGTGGTGGCCGTCAAAGACAACGGCGCCGCTCGCGCCGTCGCGGACAACCGGATTCGACACGATGCAAAAGTGCCGCGGTGGAAGCGCTACCATCGGCACCGGGCCGAGTACTACAACCTCGTGGTCCATGCAGGTAAAGGTCTGCGGGCCTTCCACCACCCGCGTCACGTTGGTGTTCGAGTCGGTGACATGCAGGTACGAGAACGGCGGGATCCGCAGGATCTCGATCTTCGGTCCAGAGCCTGCAGACGATCCAGATGCCATGGCGCGAGAAAAAGGGGGGGATGAGGGTGTCGACGGGTGTGTTACCGGCCGCTCGTTGTTGTGCGGGAGTGCTACGCGTTCTACGGTCGAAAGGGGGTGGGCGGGTGGGTGAGGTGGTGGTGCGAATGGAAGAAAGGCTGGCAGAAGGAGGTGGAAGGAAGGGGAGAGAGGGAGGGGGAAGAGAAGAAGAAACGGCGAAGGGTAGCGGAAGATGGGGGAAGGGAAGGGAAGGGGAAGGGGGGGGCATGCGTACTGGTCTTTGCCATCCACAGGCGACAGAGCACGTGTAAGAGCGGAGTGGTGCGGAGTGGTGCGGCAGGAGGAGCCAGTGGCCCCAGCAAGAAACGCGATCTCCGGACTCGGACCCAGCACCAGCGGAAGCTCCACCTGGCCGGTTTCCGACACTGATTCACACACGCAGAGCCATCTGCACGTCGACAACAGATCAAAGCTGTTCAGAGCTTGCCGATCAAGCTACCTGATGAGGTCTGGAATGGAGAGCGAAGCTGTGGGGGGTGACGGAAGCTAGGCCCAACTCAACAGCTGCCGGACGCCGACCGACGTGCCTCCATTTAACTATATACTTATATAAAATAAACAAATCTATTCAAAATATTTAATTATATGATTGAAGCGTTTTTGTTACCGTTTTTATTTTTGAATCTATATAATCAAATATATTTACGAATACTGAAATATTTTACAATTTGCCTAAAGCCCTCTGCTGGAGCAGGCGGAGGAAGCTCTTGAAGGAAACCCCTGCACAACGCGCCAAGGACTTGATCGTCCATGCTATACAGCACATCAACAACAAGCGGGAGTTGTGTTCATGACTTGAGCAAGCTGGATAGACTGTATCTGTTGCAGAACATGAATTATCGGCGAGAAACCAACCAGTCTCAGACGGGTAACTTCGGTACTTGTCGCTTGTCTCGCCATAGCCGATGACCGACATCGCTCCCCACATGTGTATCTTTGCTGCCTGGCACTTCACGTACTCTTCGCTCTTCCTCTCTTCTCCCAGCGGCATCGTCTGCTCCGCTTTGTTGTCACGGCACGTATGGCTTGTCGATCGGATCAACCGTGCCCGCCCGCGATGACATCTCGTCCCGGACATGGGTGGCCAAAACAGCCTCGGACGAGTGTACGCATTTCTTTACATGGGCCGCAAGAGGGCAGCCGCTCACTGGCCGACCTGCTTGTTGAGGTTGACCGTCTCGCGCTTGAGCACATGCAGCAGCGTCTGCGACGACTCCAGGATCTTCATGTACGCCTGCTCCGTCTCCTGGATGGTCTTGTCGTACTCGTTGCGCGCCGAGATCTTGCGCGCAAGCGACTCATTGATCCGCGACAGTCGCTCAGTCAGGATCCGCAGGTCTGCGCCGCCGTCGCCAGCAAGTCAAGCACCATGAGTCCACCCTGCCCGTCTTCTCTTCCTCGTGCTCCCCTAACTGTTGTTTCATCCTCCCGACGTACCATTCGAGATCTTTGCCTTCTCTTCCTCTTCCTTGAGGATCGCCCGGGAGATCTGCTCGCGCTTCTCGCGCAGCTCCTCGATACCTACATCCATCCCGCCGCCGCCCGCCGCCGCCCGCCCGCCGCCCGCCGCCCGTGAGTCGCTCACTGCCGCATGCAGCGCCCCTGCCATCACCCCAACCCACACCCACCGCCACCCACCAGCCCCCCTACCCCCCTCTACCCCCTCTACTCTACTGCCGGCAGCCTGCGTGCAGCAGTGCGCGCCCGGTGACCCCCGCCGGCGGGCGTGTGGCGGCGGCAAAGCGCGCGCAAATTCGGCGCCGCAAACGGCGGCCGCCGGCCGCAACCCTTTGCCACCCACGTACTCTTCACGAGCTCATTGTTGAAGTTCTGCAGGGTGGCGCCCTGCTGTGCCATCCTTTGCGTGTGTGTGGCTGTGCGTGTGTGTGGTGGGACGAGTGGCCTGGACAAAGGTCATGTTCCCGAACGTTCCCACCTCTGCCCCTCCCCACCACCCACCGCTCGCCCTCCGGCCGCCCCCCCCCCCTTCCTCCCCCTCCCCTTCCCCACTTCCCACTTTCCCTAACCAGTCGCAGGCCAACCAACCAGTCACGAGCCAGCCACCCCTCACACCCCCACCTCACCCCCCTCACCTACCACCCTTCCACCCCTACCCTAACTCTACACACACACACACACACACACACACAATGCCTGTCCTTGTCCTCAAGGACGAGCTCAAGACCGACCTCGCCCACCTGGCGGGCCTCCCGTCGGCGGCGGTCGACCAGTTCTGCACCCTTGCCGTCCAGTTCCTCAAGCACGGCGCCAACACAAAGGTCTTTGCCGGAGCCGCCAGTAAGCTCGGCGTGGCTGTCGATGTTGTGGAGGCCTCGGTCGAGGGCCTGTGCTTCCTCTTCTCCGAGGCCGCCAAGCTCCGCCTCACCGAGGCCGAGTTCCGCGAGTGTCTGGCACCCATGGCCTGGCCAACCGGCCTCCAGGACGCCATGCTGGCCCTCTATCTGGCCGAGGTCGACAACATTCGCCTGGTCCAGGCCGAACTGTCCATGACCCTCCCACGCCTGCACCACGCCTCGTGGCGCCTCGACGTCCAGCTCGCCTCACGCTCCGTCCACTCGATGGTCAACCCGCTGTACTACCTCGAGCTGCAGCTCAAGGACGCGGCACACCCCTCGGTTGTCCTTCAGCTCGACTACGCCAACATGAAGCACCTCACCTCTGTCCTCGAGGCTGCCCTCGCCGAGTCTAAGACCCCGTTGATGAAAAAGGTGGTCCGCAACATCCACTAGATGTGCGACCAACTGCGTCGCCCAGGCAGCGAACAACTTTCTTCATCCGCTCGCTCGCTAGATCGCGCAGCTCAAAAGCTGCTTACCACCACGGTGTAGACAAACATATCTGGCAGACATGACACGCCGGCTCAGCACCTCGTACCTTCTTACTCCAGCCCGATACATACGTCAGAGCACCCCCTCCCCTCGCCTGCCGCAGCCACCCGTGAGTTTGCACCGCTTGCCAACCCGCGACTGCACCACACTTTGTCATCATCACTACTAACACGCCGCAACCCTTCTACCTGCATGCTACATGTGCAGGTGTGCAGGATGCCATCCGAACCTCCCACTGCTTCCTCATCGACTGCGGGGATGTCTGTATTCGCCATCTCCCTCCTCCCTCCTCCTCCTCCTCCCCTCCTCCTCCGCATCACTCCTCCCCTCCCCTCTAACCTCTTCCTTCTCTCTCCATCTCCATCATCTCTCATGCCTTGGCCAGCGCCAGGCGCGAAACTGGCTGACGACATGATGCCTGAGCCTAGCTTTTCAACCTGTTGCACGGGGCGAAAGACCCTACGCTTGGTACACGTCTCGCCTCTGCTTCCTGCTTCAAAGGATTCGAGATGATCGTAACCCGGCGCGTGGTTGGCATTGCATGCCTGGCCGTGCTCGTGGCTGTGTTGGCAGCAGGTACGTGGACGAGGGCGAGTCAGGGCGCGTGGACCAGAGGGCGGAAGGAGCGATCGAAAGGCTCGTTTTTTTGACTCACTCTGCACGGCCGGTTGGGACCGATGGCTGGTACAGGCCCCGCCCATGGAGCACTGAGCGACGGCATGGAGTGCCAGCGGGTGAACGAGTTGCTCGACATCAAGGTGTACTGGAACAAAACGTCCGCCACGACAGTCGACCTTGCTATCTCGGCACCCATTGACGCCGGCTGGCTTGGTCTCGCCCGCTTTTCAGGCGGAACCATGTCGGGTGGCGATTTTGCCTTTGCTTTTCTCGACGGCACAACGCCCAAGGTGCTGGACGGCTTCCGCTCGGCAGCCGGCAACGAGGTCATCTCGATCGACTCAACCAACTCACTGACCAACCGCGCGGTCGAGCGCGTCGGCGGCGTGCTCACGGCTCGATGGACCAAGGCGCTCGATGCACCTGCCGACAGTGAGGATTTGACGTGGGCCGGGACCGGCTCCAACGCCATGGCCTTTGCCATGAGCACGTCGAACCCATCGGATCCGCCGGTTTCAAGCGACTTTCATTCTGGCGCCTACAACAAGTTCTCAATCGACTTCACCACGACGGCAGTGTGCACGCCACCGCCGCCGCCGGCCGCGCCGCCTCCACCGTCGTCCGCCGCCGTCGACCTTACCGACGCCTTTACTTATGCCGACGGCGATTTTGTGATGAAGTTCAAGGTTGATACGGTCCGCAATGTCATCTCCATGTCGCTGTCCAAGTCCGGCACCGCCGGCTGGGTTGCTGTCTGCTTCACCACTCGCCCCGGCCTCATGGGCCCCGGCGATGTGCTGATGGCGTACGCGTCGACTGCCGCCAGCGGCGGCTACATCGTCTCCGACCGGCAGAACCCATCCGGCCGCGCCGCACCCGCCGCTGACGCCCAGCAGGACGCCCAGGCCGTGGCCGGCGCCGAAGTCGGCGGGCGAATGACCGTCGAGTTTGTGCGGGCGCTCAACACGAACGAGGCCGGCGACGCCGTCATCACCAACTCAGACATCAACATTGTGTGGGCCATCGGGTCGGCGACGCCCGGTGGTGGCGCAGGTACCGCCCTCTCGCTGCCGTCCAAGCACGCGTCGACGTCGACGTCCGAGATCAAGATCAACTTCTTCACCGGCAAGGTGACCGAGGACAATCTCCGTGAGCGCATCATCAAGGCCCACGCCTGGCTCATGATCCTTGCCTGGATCTTTATGATCCCCGGTGGCATCCTTACCGCCCGCTACCTCAAGGACGCGCTCGGCGTCTGGTGGTTCCGCGTTCACCGCGTCACCCAGTGGCTCGCTGTCCTCATGACCTTTGCCGCCTTTGGCATGGCCATCTGGTTCACCCAGGAGGACTTTAAGGGCGAGAACAAGGCCCACAAGATCATCGGCCTTCTCATCGTCATCGTCACCTTCTTCGAGCCCATCCTCGGCGAGCTGGCCAACCTCATGTGGTCGCCCGACCGCAAGGGTACCCCCATCTTCCCGGACATCCTCCACTGGTGGTTCGGCCGCTTCCTCTCACTCTTTGCCATGATCAACGTCTACCTCGGCATGAAGGCCAAAGAGTGGGGCGCCGCGCCATACGTCATCGTCTCGCTCGCCATCGCTGGCTACTTTATCGCCTTTATCGTCCTCCAGTTCTTCGTGGGCGCCGTCCATCACAACGCCTCCGACGATGACGATGACGGGACCGAGATGAAGTAGGACAGTACCACCCTACACCCTAAACTCATTCATCGTTCATTGTCTACCTCTCAACACCCGCACCCCACACCCACAGCCCCTGCCTGGTAGGTGGCCGCTCGACGGCCGCCCGTCTCCCGTCGCGCCAACCCATCACGCACTCGTCCCTCCCCGCCTCCCCCCCCTCCTCCCCCCCCTCCCTCCTCCCCCCTCCCCCGCCCCTAATACTGCACCATGGACATATCCTCAGCAGTAGATGCTGCGGTACACTCCCCGGGTACGCACCTCCCCCTCCCCCCCCCCCTCCCCTCCCC